CATTTCTCTGTAATAAACTCTTTTCCAAAGATGAGGGATTTCTCGATCAGATAGATTTATTTTTTATTACTTTGTTGTTTCAGCAACATTAAATTTAAAAACTGTACTTTTGAGTTAAAATATATATTTATAATTTTAATAAATGACATTAAAAAAGCATGAACATTTTTTTGTATCGAAAAAATATCGAACCTAACCGTGAATTTTGTGTATCGTTGCACCCCTAATAATCAGGGCTAGTACGTCAAAAATTAGGTCTCATATGGCACCAACACTGTAAAACGAGCAGCATCTGTTCTTAATAAAGCAGTAGTGTGTGTTTTCACCGGTAGGCGACTACACCGGCTCCTGAATTGATATACGCTTCTGTTTTTGCAGCAGCTGACACAAGCTGGAATAGCCACAAATGCTTTCTACCTACATGCTGCATTGCATGTTTGCATGTTACACATTCATCAGTGGGTCCATTATGTCTTTAACAATGTGCTGTTGACCAGGAGTGCAACTCTATTATATCACATTGAGATAATGGGAAAGGCCATTAAAGCAGGAGTCTCAGACAGAGTGAACACAGCATCAGTGGTTCAGCATCACATTACGTTGCTGCGTATCGACTGGGAACATGACTCAACCCCCGACTCCTGTTAACTGAGGGGGAAAAGCCCCATCGAGGCCCAGAGTTCAATTTTCTGCAATAAGAAGGAGCTGGAAAGTGAAGGGAGAAGAGAGACGGGCAGAAAGAGAGAAAAGAGAAGCTGTGATAAGGTTTGATGTGAGTTACATAACCCCATGAATTAGAAATGATGGCCATGAGAGAAGAGCTTGTGTTTCCAACGGGATTAAAGGCTCCTCACTGCCCTCCTCAGGACCTCAGGCTGCGAATTTAAAGAAGCCCGTGTGCATGATGAGGAGTGCGAGGGAGAAAACGTGAGCTGAGCAAAATGAGTGTTAGTGGCAGGATGGGAAAAATGGCCCAGGTCTGGTTTATGACCTGCTTTTGTTGATTCTGCTTGGGGCTACATAAGAATCAGTAGATCTGAGAGTTTACCTTTTGAGGATGGTGCTGAAACAAAACCCAACCCTAAGCTTACCTCCAACCCTGGACAAGACTCAGGTTAATCTGGGGAATACCAAGAGGTTAAAAAACAGTAAATAGTGAAATCACTGCCAAGTCTTTAGCAATAAAATGTAATATTTACATGTATTTTGGTTAAAAATGGAATAAATTAAAGACCAGAGAATCAGTATCAAGACTATTTCTGTTATGTAAAGAACTATTTTAGAAATTTTTGGAAGTTGTCCGCCACTCTGAACTAGGGCTGCCATGATTAGTCGACTAGTCACGATTACGTCGACTATCAAAATCGTCGAC